AGGAGGAGGTGCTTTTCTAGCTTAGCTGCCACTGCATATCACCCCCCTCCCCATCAAAAAATAAGTCAGAGGTGGAGAGAACCATATCTGTTACCATGAGGCTGTCCTCCCATTCTACCCACTTGGGGCAGCAAAATGACTTGAGACAGCCCTGCCTTATAGCTAAGCAGAAGGAAAGAAACATGGCTTGCTTCCCTCCATTTTCCGCTTCCCTCTGCTGCCCCACCAGCCACAGTTGGGACACTCATCTGGAGCTTCCTTCTAGATCTCGTTGTATTTCTTCCCACAACAGGCATTACTCCTATTAATAATATAAATAAATATTTCACATGTTTAGGGTCATGGCACAACAGACCACAGGGGCACACTGCATGCTTTCCATGCATGCTATAGCAACTCCAATTAGCAACATCCTCTATTACCAACTTCCCTACTGTTTGGGCAAGGGCATTACTCCTATTAATAATATAAATAAATATTTCACATGTTTAGGGTCATGGCACAACAGACCACAGGGGCACACTGCATGCTTTCCATGCATGCTATAGCAACTCCAATTAGCAACATCCTCTATTACCAACTTCCCTACTGTTTGGGCAAGACTCCGTCATTTGAACCACAATCACGGTGCCAGAGAATATTCCAACTACACCCTTAACCTTAGGGCAATTCATTCATGCCACATGCTCCATGACCACAGATTAGACCAGGGCTGGGGGCTGGGTGGGTATTGCCTGTTTCACATCTTCTGATTATCCTGGGGCTGATGGCATTGATTTATACATTGGCCAACTTTGGTGAAATAAATGCCAGGATATAACAGATCCAGCAGGGTGATCGTATTATCTAAACAGCCTGAGCAGAAATACTGAAGCTGTGCCATGTGGAGTATTACTGAAAACTACACTGCATCTGCTTCTGCTACACAATGTAAAAAATTCTGCATACTTCTATGTATAAAGTCAAAAGCTTACGGAGGTAATTATTTCCTCTGCCCTAGTGATTAAGGATATCAACAGCAAACAAGATATGGGAATGGTTCAGTTCCCTCTTTAATCCTTAATACACACACCTTTCACATTTATTCCCTTTAATGCAGAAGGGAAACATGTAAATGAAAGCCTCAGTAATAAAGGTCAGAGATCTCACATTCTCAAAATCAGCTAAGGCTTCTAAAGCATTGTTACCGTAATGGTTTTTATAGTGTTACAATCCAGGGACCATCAAAGGCTGTCGAGATTTAGATATGGATTACACAGTGCACCAAATTATACGCATCCAGAAGTAAGCAGTGTGATTATTCACAGGGGTTAAATGGGGAAAATACCCAAACAAACTAGCTTGGGTTTTTTGACAGCCAATGTTTAGGAACAAATGTGTTCAGTATTTAGAAATTATTCACAGGGCAGCTTTAACCACTTAAGAAGCCACTGGATATTCAGTGACATGACACTGCCATGGTTTTCACTTACCCCTCATCTGGTAGGTCTGGCAAAACTCGACTTACACATGGAGAGACTTCGCAGCTTACCAGCTCCTAATGTACACAGAGCAATCCTGTTTTGGGCTGCCAACCTCAAGATGAGGCCAGGAATTAGTTCAGGTCCCCTGGACAAAACGGCTGCTTTGAAGGGTGGCATTATACCCCAGTGAGGTACCCCAAACCCGACCTTCCCCAGGCTCCCTCCCAAAATCTCCAAAAATTTCCCAAACAGGAGTTGGCAACCCTGTGTGGCACTTTTTCAAGCACACAGCAGGTGAGTTACTGGTTTCTGCTCTAAATAATTGATGGGTAACAAAGTTTTCCAGTAGAGAAGTATTTTGACTTCACCAAAGTCTTCGACAAAATTCCACATGTTTTTGTCAACAAATTAGAGATGGGTGCATTAGGGTTCATTTGAGTGCAGAATGTATAGATTTACTATATTTGAATTCACTGCGGTCATCACATGCCTCTCCCTGCCCTCCAAATCCTGTGTCTGTGCCAAGAACTCAGAAGAGAATGCCTTCACACCACATTTTTGTTACGTACGCTGATTCTGCCTTATGGAAGTCACCATGAAAACCCTTCATCTTTCTTACTACAAGTTCTCTGTGAAATGCAGTGAACATGGGTGGTGGGAGGGGCGGTTTCTTTCCCTTTCTGCTTTAAAAAAATAAAAATAAGTGCAAACAGAGCCTTATTGCTTCTGCAATGGAGTTAGAAGAGAAGGGAAGGGATTCCCAAATTCCTTATAAACACCAGATAACTAAGGGGAAAGAAGGTTTTCTCTGACTGTAAGATGGGCTTTTGCAGAAAACCGAATGAATGCCCCTCCTTTCGCCAGAAGTTCTCGGAAACTCATGAAGAAGATGGGAGGAGGAGCCTTTATGCTGGGCCACAAACTGCTAGCAACTGGGTGTATGGAAGCCCACCTGTTGCCATCTTTGGAGAAATAATTTTGATATGAAGGGGGCATATGGGAGAGACAGGTGTGGCCTGAGAATCCTTTTTCAGTTTACCACTGCCTGATGGCAGCTCTCCAATTCAAGGCTGATGGATTTGCTGCAGACGACAGACCGGGCTGCCAGATGTGCCTGATTTTAAAGGATTATCTCTTATTCCAAGCATCACAATCCTATTGAAAACAATACATGTCCTTTCCTACAAGCACAACAAGCTCAACAGTGTCTCATTACTAAAACTGTGATCTGCCAAACCAAACTAAAGGCAATCTACTCTGGGCTCCAAGGCGAGATAGTAAAAATATACCCCACCTTTAATTTTAAATATAAATGACAAACCACAAAATTACTCACAAGTGCATGCAGTGGTAGCTAGCCCGATGGTCTTTTTTAAATGGAAAAGCTTCTTAGGGAAAGTGCCACTGGGAGAAGAGAAAGGGGGTAGCAGGGTGGTGAGCCGTAATCTTTCCCTGTGTCCACTTGTCCTCGCTCCCCCCTTTCTGTTTGGAACCCTAAAGGAGGAAGTTGCTTAGTAGGGTAGAGTGATTTAAAGCAGGGAGAAGCGTAAGCACCCAAACTATGACTTTACTAGCTAGTCCAGCAAAGGGGAGGGGGGGTTCCTTACATTAAAGTGTATGTGTAACACGTAGTCCTGTCCAGAACTTTACTATTTAAATCTGTGCCTGTTCCATGAAGTCTCTCCTGTACAGCAATTTAATACCACCTTTATCTTCCTGAGACTATGGTTTGTTTACATATGGGAATGCCTGATGTTATTTACTCATAGTTAGAATCCTGAGTTATTTATAGACAAGTTTGTGCATTGTAATGCAAACATTAGCATATCTGGCTAGGATCTGGACTCAAATTCCCAGCCAGCCATCAAGCCTGCCTGGTCTATTTGGGGCCAGGTAATGTGGCTGCAGTGGCTCAGAGGTTAAGATGCTGAACTGCAGACTGGAAGGTCGGTAGTTTGGCAGTTCGAGACCCTAGCGCCACATGACAGAGTGAGCTCCCGTCTCTGGCCCCAGCTCCTGCCAACCTAGCAGTTCGAAAGAAACTGCAAGTAGATAAATAGGTACCGCTTCGGTGGGAAGGTAACAGCATTCCATGCACCTCAGCATTTAGTCATGCCGGCCACATGACCATGGAAACATCTTCGGACAGCGCTGGCTCTTTGGCCTGGAAACGGAGATGAACACCGCCCCCCCCCCAAGAGTTGGATTTGACTGACTTTCGAGCAAGGGAAACCTTTACCTTTACTCAGGGGTCTTTTCGTAGAAAAAGAGGTACAGGAGCTGATTAATATAACTTATTAGCATAACTTATTTGCATATGCTACACCCCCTTACATCACCGGAAGTGTGCGTCAGCCCCTCTGACAGGCAGAAGCGCCTGGGATCCA